TTTTAAATAATGAACAACTTAAAAAGATATGTTACTTTAGGAAATTGTAAAATTTGTTCGTGAAGTTCGAACAATTTTTTGTTTTTTAAATTATCAATTAGATTAAATACAACTTGGTGAGTTACCATCATAAAATGCTTTTGAAAGCAACACATGCAAATAACAACAACTTTACTACCAACAACACAAACTCCAATAATAACATCGAAACCTTAAAAACTTGATGTGTAAGCGGCACACAATTATTTTTCCGTCTTTATTAAAAACTTTATATAAAAAGTATATTAACGATGTATCACTAAATATTTAAAAACATAAATTTTATTGAGATAATACTAAGTCATATAAACAAGAGTAAAATAACAATATTCAATATGCTATTGAATATAACCGGAAGTTTCAAGTAGATGATAATAATTTGAAAAATGTGTTGATTATTTCATTAGACTAGTCGCGTTAAAATTACTCGCTCGAGGTGTTCTTTAAGTATTTTTTAGTTGTAAATATAAATTAAACATTAAAGTTTTATCAAAAGAGAGTATGTGTGTATATTTTTATTGTTTTTTAAAGAGTGTTACAATCTTTATCGAACAAAATTACACATTTATGAGACAAATTTTTTTACTTTTAGGACATTTTAATATTATTTTGAAACATTATATCATTTTGAAACACTTTTGTTTTTTATTGTGACAAATTACAAAGTAATGAGACAAATTTTTATTGTTTTGAAACAAAATTGAATATAGGTGCAATTTTAATTTGTTTTGAGACAAATTCAATTTATTATGAGACTTGTTTCATTTGAATCCGAACTAACTGTATAATCATTTAAAATTAAAAAACTATAATTTAAATTAATATTTTAATTTTATGTTTATTTTGACCTTTAAATAGATTTTTTAAAAATTATAGTTTCAAAATTATATTTATCAAAATTAACTACCTTTGTCCCTTTTTAATGCCATTTATCCCCCGACTATAAGGAAATAAAAATAAAACTCAAGATATAATATTTAAACTAAAAATAAATAAAAAAAATATATCTGTAGTCATGCAAGAAGTGTCAATTCCCTTAATACTATTTACAATTAATTAAGAGGAAGACTTGAGAAATGTGAACCAAATGACTCTTAAACAGAAGATACAACACTTTATCCAAATATTTACTTTCTCGCAGATTCTTATGCTTCTTGGGGTGTCTAAAAACCAACCCCAAACGTCACTCAATGAGTCAGATATACAAGAATTGGATATGAAAAAGAGAGCCAATTACTTAACAAGGCAATTCGAAGTTGCTTGGGAAACGGCGAAACAGAAACCAAAGCCCAAATTGTTGCGAGTGATGTTCCGATTGAATGCAAAGCCCATGTTGATCGCAGTGCTTCCAAGACTCATTTATGATGTCACTTTGTTCATCCCAATTTTTGCACAAAGCGTAATGATTAACTTTGGTACCAAATGGAACGACATCGAGAATTCAGAGTCTTCATGGACTAACGAACAAGTTGCTGAGTCGTTGTCATGGCAATATCAGAAATGGACTGGTGCGATGTTTGGTTTATTTGTGGCGATTATTGCACTTACATCTTCTGTGTGTGGACATTATTTCACTTATATTACCACTGTTGTTGGTCAGAAAATGCGGTCGACACTCGTCATGGCAATGTATGAAAGAATATTCGCGATGAATGCAAAATCGCAATCCACGACGCCACATGGCCAGATTTTAAATATGATGTCTGTTGATGCAAACTGTGTGAATGATATGTGCTCACAAGTCCATTTGTTGTGGTCGTGTACTTTGGAAGTTATTTTGTCGTTGATATGGCTCTTTTATTTGGTTCAATGGAGTGCATGCGCTGGACTTTTAGTGATGTTAATTTCAGTATTTTTAAACATTGTAATAGCCAAACTCACTGTTAACCAAATGAAGCAGTTGATGATTATTAAAGATACCCGTGTGAAACTCATGACAGAAGTATTGAATGCGATTAAGACAGTGAAAGTGATGGTATGGGAAAGACACCTGCATGGTCAGTTACACGACACAAGAAAGAAAGAAGTCAAAAGAATCTTGTGGGTCATTGCTTTTAGAAGTTGCATGAACTTCATCGTCTGGGCAATTCCACCAACGGTTTCCTTTGTTACTTATTTAATTCTGATTATTATCCAACATGGGTCGGCTGATGCTATTGGCCCAAAAGAAGCGTTTTTGACGCTTGGTCTGTTTAACATCATGAGACTTCCACTTATTAGATTCCCAAAACTGTTGAACGACACGATGCAAGGTGTCACTTCGTTGAGAAGAATTCAAGAGTTCTTGATGAAAGGTGAAGACCAAAAAGACCGAGATGCAGACAATGTAATTGCTGCTGTTGAGACTGCAGCGCCCGATGCGCCAAGTATTGCAGTTGAACATGCGACATACACATGGGAAGACAACGACTCGACTGCGCTCTCAGACATCAACTTCACTGCGAAGAAGGGGCAACTGATTGGAATCATTGGTGAAGTTGGGTGTGGTAAGTCCGCGTTCTTCCGGTCATTGCTTGGTAACTTACACAAGACAAATGGTATGGCGTTGTACAATGGGAAGATAGGGTATGTTGCACAGAATGCATGGGTACAGAACTTGACTGTTCACGACAATGTTGTCTTTGGAAAGAAACACAACAACGACGTCTACGAGAAGGTTGTTGCGGCTTGCGAATTGAGAAACGATTTGGAAAACTTCCCAGGTGCAGACCAAATGGAAGTTGGGATTGGCGGATCAAATCTTTCTGGTGGACAGAAACAGCGACTTGCGCTCGCACGTGCGGCGTATCAAAATGCAGACATCTACTTACTTGACGACTGTTTGAGTGCAGTCGATGCAAATGTCGGGCAGAACATCTTCAACAACTGCATCAAAGGCATTCTACGAGAAAAGACGCGTGTTTTGATCACACAGACATTCCAATACCTCCCCGAGTGTGACTACATCTATGTGATGAAGAACAACACATTTGTCGAACAAGGTACTTTCGAAGAGTTGCACGCTCAACAAGAAAGTGAATTCTTGCGTTTGTATTCAAATTATGTAGCGAACGTTTCTCATCAGGACGAACATGGCAAGAGAATATTAAAACGTAAAATGAAAAATGGAATCAAAGTCACACAACTTATTCATGGAGAAAGCCGTGATACGTCATCTATTTTAAAGACGATGATGACATATATAAAATATGGAGGATGGTTCAACTTTGCTATGGTGGTGTTCTTCTTCTTCGTTTCATCATTTTTGTTGCTTGCTTCCAACTTCTGGTTGGTCTTATGGACAGATCCATCAAAAAAGGATCAATACGAGTTTACAAAATCATTGAATGGATACGAGTTGGTTGGTATATATGGAGGAATCATTGCCGTTGTACTTTTCCTCTTTATTTTCAGATTCTTTTTCTTAGGAGCGTTGAACGGGAAAGCTTCAATTAAAATCCACTTTGATGCGTTGAACCATGTTTTGAACTCACCTATGTCATTCTTCCAAACAACCCCAATTGGTCGTATTCTCAATAGATTCTCAGAGAACTTGTTTACTTTGGATGATAAAATCAATTTGTCTTTGGCTCAGTTTATTGCTTCGGTGACAATGCTTGTCGTGCTAATTATCATTCCAGTTATGGTCAACTCCTTGATGCTGCCAGTGATGGCTCTTGGTCTATTCTGGTTCTTCTATGTGTTCAAGATCTATATGAAATATGCCAAACAATTACTTCGACTCGATGTTGTAAATAGAAGTCCATTGTACAACAGTTTCCAAGAGACTTTGCTTGGACTTGACACCATCAAAGTGATGCACAACGAGAGGAGATTCACTTCGATATTGTCCAACAAATTGAACAAACAACAGAAGATTTACTACGCCAATAATGTCTGCCAAAGATGGTTGGGTGTTCGTGTTGAGTTAGTTGGGTGTTTATCACTGGGTGCTATTGTGACAGTCGGCGCAATTCAAATTGCAAGTATTTCCCCGTCTTTAATTGCCTTAATGGTGATGTATATGTTCCAATACAACAATATTTTAACACAATTTGTACAATCGTGCGTTGAAGTCCAGATGGCGTCGACTGCTGTAGCTGCTGTTTGTGATTACCTTGATTTGCCATCAGAGAGAGGGATAACGGAAGACGACCCGACAGTGACGGGTCGTGTTGGTCCCAATTGGCCTGAGCAGGGAGACGTCAAGTTTGAGAACTTAACGATGACGTATTCAGCGGAGTTGCCGCCAGCTGTGAATGACTTGACGGTCCATGTGAATCCTGGAGAGTCAGTTGGTATTGTGGGGCGTACGGGAGCAGGAAAGTCGTCGATCATGGTTGCATTGTTCCGGTTGTATGAGCCGACAAGTGGGTGTGTGATCATCGATGGTGTCAACACATCGACACTTTCACTTGAGACGCTTCGGTCAAGATTGTGTGTCATTCCACAAGAGCCAGTCTTGTTCAGAGGCACTTTACGAAAAAATTTGGATGTTCTTGGGAAGCACACCGACGAAGAGATGATCCAAGCGCTTCAAGACGTTAACATGAAGGAGAGTTTATTCAGCAAAGGTGATGGACTGAATCTTGAAATTGCTGAAGGCGGTGCAAACTTCTCGATTGGGGAAAGACAACTCATTTGTCTTGCACGTGGGTTGTTGTCACGATCGAAGGTGATCATCCTCGATGAAGCAACAGCAAACGTCGATTTGCAAACAGAAAAGAGAATCTTTGACGCATTGTTCACACACTGCAAAGGAAGCACAATGTTCATGATTGCACACAGACTCCACACCATTTTGACGTGCGACAAGGTCTTGATGCTTGAGAAAGGGCATGTTGTTGGGTTTGGACAACCCGATGAATTGAAAAAGACATGTGCAGAGTTTGCTTCACTTGTTTCAAAAACTGGTCTTGGCGGTGAACACTCCGATGAACAAGAAGACCACAAAGAAGAGAAGGACGTCAAGCCAAAGGACGAAGTAAAACAAGAAACTAAGGAAGAGAAGCTTGTTGATGTGCCCGAAGTTAAAGCAGTTGAACCACCAAAGAGCCCAAGTATCCTTTAATCATTTTTGATTATTTTTATGTTATCACACAAATTTAACAGTAAACAAGAAATATAATGATGTTTAATAAAATCATAAAATTAAATCCAATTGTTTGTTGTTTGAAATTGTACTGTTTTAAGCATCTCCACATAGTTGGAAATTAAAGGATGTCGTTATACGTCACGTGTCCAACACCGTTTAACAACACTGTAAATATTTCAGACGTTTCAACTGTCTTTCAAAATATATTTTTCTTATTAATAAATTCGTCAATTTTCCATCAACCAACACATCATAATCAATTGAAACAATCAAAATGTCGTCTTGGTGTAAGATCACGTTTGATTGTAAATGTTTAATTCACCTTGCAAAGTTTGTCAGAATCTTGATGCGAGGTCTCATGGCAAACAGTTTAAATGTTTTGTTTCTTATCAAATCATGAAGTAATTTAAACTTTGCAAATTCGGTGATCCCCCAATCCAATGCAGATCTGGATTGGGGGATATGCTCTTGTTATTATACTTAATACAAATATTATTTCATTTTTTGAGTACAATCACAAAACCAATTATCAATAAACGTGACAATTTCCACAATAAACGTCGTATTAGTCAATTTATTTTCAATAACTTTCAACACACTCGTTTGGCATTGAACACAAACACATTCTTACATTTGATGCTCGGACTGTTATAATCACAAAACCAAGCACGATTGTATAGTTGTTTTTACACAATTCACATTTCATTAGAGTCAAAGTAAAATAACATACGAAACGATTTATGCTTTCTACATCAGTACACAATCACCATCAGTTATTATAATACCTTTTTTTCGCTAATTATAATATATCAACTGTTTTATTAATCATGGTATGATTATTATCACAAATTAAACAGTATCTCACCAGTGGTTATTAAAAATAATTATTTATAAGTCTCATTAGAAACCGTTTTGATAAACATTTTGAAATGTCTTTATTGCATTGTGTATCCCAACATAAACACACCAACACAAGAGTGAATGTTTCTAATAAATTCAGATATTATTTAAATTAAATTTTTATTCTTGTTAAAAAAGTCGAACGTTTTAGTTTTGAAACAATTACATTTATATTTGTAAAGACAAAACCAATGTATAGAAATAACTCAATTCACTCATAATCAGCAGATAGCAACGTCAGTAATAACAGATAATTTTGAACGTTTGTGGTTAATATTTTCCAGATACTCCAAGTGTCTTGTAATAGAATGTTGTAAGACTAATTAATTGATACCACTACAGGTCAGGAAGAAATAGACTGACTCAATTGTTGATCCTTTTAGTCTTTTGACAAAAGGTTCTGAAAGTGCCGCACGTTAGTGACAGGATGCTTTGGTCGCCCAGTCCCAATTTTCCATTGAAAATTAGACACAAAGCATTTATACCCGTCTTGAGAGTATTCCACTGTTGTGGATCATTTATGCAGCCTTTCAAGCACTTTCTTGGCGACTGAATGGCTGTTTTATAATTAAAGTTTTAGAGTCGATTGTTGTATAATTGTATGACTCTGTAACGAGTTGTACTCGTCGCCATTCATCAATGCCTTGTTAGTAAGAATCTTGGCATTTTTGGAGTTTAGGTGGAGGACAGAAGACTGGATGCAGGGATGCACAGATGCGGATACCTTTTGCTGACTATGTTTCGAGTCGGCATCTGTTTGATAAATAATGTTTGTGGTTATTAAATCGAATGTATTATAATAAATAAGAAGAAACAACCTGTTGAATGTTGTGATTGATTATCAAATTTGTGTTTAAATATTGCTTTGTTTTTCTATTTTAATAATTGTGTTTCTTATCGATAAAAAATACGATAAGTTATAAATACCGCGTTGTAATACAAATACTTTGGATCTTTAATGCGATTTTTGACTTCTTTTGTGTTTATAACATGTATCGTGCACACAATTTGTCTATATTCTGGTTTCAAAAAATAACTCCAAACATAAATTAATAATAAAAACAATGTTTTTCTTTTATTTTGATTTGACAAACAACGCCAGTATTTCTATTTAGGGTTTGTTTTATTGAATTTCGAATTTAAATTGGAAAATAACAGTGTACATTTTTAAAATACAATTTGTTCTATTTAAAATAAAACACTGTGGTGGTAAGGTAGTTTCAAGTCGGTGGAGTCTGTTGTATGAATTATAATATGTTCACAATTGAATTGTATTAATTTCAAAAGCTATAACTTACTATTAACATTTTAATTACAATAATATTGACATTATAATTACAATAATGTCAATATCATTGTATTTTTTATAAAAATCATAAAATAACTGTTATTTAATTATCTTAAAAGCCAAATTAATATAAATTTGTTTATTATTAAAAATATCGCTAAATATATCCATTTTCAACAAGCAAAACCATCTGAAATAAATTATATTGCCGAATTTTTGCAATCACAAAAAACTAACCATTTGTTGTATTAAAAGAAAACAATATGTCAATTAATTACACTTTTATTTATTTTAAATATTTTTTATTTTTTAAAAAACAACAGGAACGACAAAACAAATTTCGGGATTATATTTTTATTTCAAAATTTAACATTCTAAGTTATTTTTACATCGAATTTAAGTCGACTTGAGTGTAAATCGACCAACATAAGATAAAATACATTTTTATTGTTAATTATCTTACCAATCAAATCAATGTTTTAATTATACTTATAATATTTTATTTTTATAATAAATTATATTTAACATTAACAATAAATTAATTTATTGTTATTATAATTATTATAATACTCAGTGATGATTTATATGATAAAAATTCTATTACAATTATTTATACAAAGCATTGAAAAATGAGAGAAAGTGATAAAGCAAGGTTTTATAATAATAATTAATACTTGTAATATTTTTTTTTGATAAATTAAAAAAGAATAACTTAAATTCTTTATTTTATTTAAACGCAAACTTATAAATGAAAATGATTAAAGAAACGATTAGACAAAAGAAGAAAGTGATGTATCTTAACATGTGAAGTTTCTTATAAGACTTTATTTTAAATAAACCAAAATTAATGACGAATTAATATTTTTTTAAAAAACTTTCATAAATATATTGTTAAAAAATGTCAAGTTTTTCCAAATCGCTACAAAAAACAATATCTAATCTTTATGTAAAACATTGAAATTATTAAAAAAATAAGTGGCATTCATGGCAAACTTTTTGGCAATAAGTAAAACTAAACGTTATATTCTGTAAAAACAATGTTGATTCAATGTTATGTTTTAACTGAATAAATGCTAAAATATTAAGTTTTTAAGATATGCAACATTTGTTTTCATACTCAACAAAGTCACAATTTGTGAAACTGTTGACTCCAATAGATTTTAGAGTGCTTGGAATTAAAATTCTAAGTGACAGACAGTTAAAACAACATGAGTCGCCAACTTTTGTCACATTATGTGGAATTTCAAGTCCCTTTAAAGATGAACAAAAAACAAAAGCACCACAGTCTATCTCTTTGATACTTTGAGGTAATACAACACGTACAAGTTTTTCACATTCATAAAAACATGATTTGCAAAGTTTAGTAATACCATTTGGTATTTCAATTTCTATTAAATTGCCACACTTGAAGAAACAACTGTTTGGAATGTATTTGAGACACTTGGGGAGTGTGATTACACTCAATGAATTACAATTCCCAAAACATGATTTTCCAATACATGAAATTGAGCTTTGAAGTGACACTGATGTCAAAGAACAGCACATTTCAAAACAGTTGTCTTCAATGATACAATCGCCTCTTCTTACAACAACACTCTTTACATTCAAACATCGATTAAATGCACATTTTCCAATCACACTTACACAACTTGGAATGTCAACACAACTCAAAGAAGTGCATCCGCAACAACACTCATCACCAATCGACTTCATGGTAGATGGCAAAATGATTTCAAGCAACGACTCGTTGTAAAAGAAACACTTTGGTGGAAGTGACAAGATGAAATCTGAAATGTGCACCTCTTTGAGGTTTCTGCACTCACAAAAACACGCCTCTTGAAGCAAAGTGACAGAATTTGGTATGACAAAAGAAGTAAATTCAGAACCATAATAACAGTTTGCCCCAATAATTTTGATGTTGCGTGGTATTGTGTCCCCATACTTTTGTCTGTCTTCTCTTGTGTAAATGACATTTTTGCACAAGATGTTGGTGTTCTTATTGTTTTGCATGAAGGTGTAATCCACAGCAAACCACACATTAATTTGGAAAAAATCGATTTTGTCACTTTTAGAAGTGTTTATATCAAAAATATCATTTCCAAAGTTCTCGTCTTTTTTTGTCCATAAGTTAAGTGTCTCAATGTTTGGAAAATATTTTATTGTTTTGGTGTTTATTTGGACGGGGTTGTTATGGAACTTTTCCATGTTGTTTTGACACTTTTTGCACACAAACTCCAATGAAATAAAATCATCTATAATCGAAAAGTACTGCGACACGATCATGATGTGAAAACTGTCAAGGCAACTCATTTTATTTTAATTAATTTAAGTTAATTTAAAAAATGATAAAAAAATTTATTTATTTCTTATAGTTATTGTTAATCTTAGATTATTTTTAATTCATTTTTAATCGATGTATTTCTTTTTAAAAACATTTTAACTCGCCGACGTACCTAATCCCCAATGGACCAATACTGCTAAAAAGAGCAGTGTTTTTAGTTTTTTGAAAAAAATATATATTATACAATGTTGTTCAATTATAGTAAAATGAAAATGGAATAACGAGTTCAAATCGTGAACTGAAAAAAATAAATTGTGAAAAAAATGAAAAAAAAATAAAATTATTGACAAAAACTTAAACGTGACAACTACCAATTAAAGAAGTTTTTGGTTCCGAAATGGAGATTAATTTTGTTAAATTTGCATTCACGATGACACGATTTAAAGAATTGTATTCCTATTTTAAATGCGACGACAAACGAAAAAGAAACGAACTGCTTTTTCAAGGAATTCATAACGTTGGTATTTACAAAGTTACTTCAATTTTCGAAGAAAATTTACGGAAAGTGTGTATTCTTGGCTTATTTGATTTATTGATGAAAAATGTATAAATTTTTGGGAAAAGAAAAAGACAAAATATACAACCCAATGAAGACTATAAAACGGGGATTTAAGTTTTTATTATTAGTTGATACAAAAACCAGTCTTTGTATAAACACTTTTAGTTTTATAAAGGCTGTGTTGAATCAAATAATCATTCTGGTAGCATTTTGGTCAACCGTTTGATTGATTACCTTCCTAAAAAACTAAACTTTATAATTCAGATGGATTTTAGATTTGTTTTTTAAACAATCTCGAAACTTGGAAGGAAGGTAACGTGGAAATAATTGAGACAATTAAAAAAACAAACCACTTTCAGAAACTTTCAACTAAAATCCTATTACCATAAGAGTGAAACAAAACTAAAACAATTGAAAACAATTTCTAAATCGAAAAAATAACAAAAAATCGAATCAAAAGATATAGAAAATGAAATCGAAAAACTCAAAAATAAACTTGAATTACAAAAAGAAAAAAAATCCACTATTCAATTGTTTTTTTAAATGTAATATTCTATTAAACACTTTATGCCTTCAAAAAAAAAACATTTTAATTGTAACAACCTTTCTTGATAATTGCGGCCTTTCTTCAAAAAATCAAATATCAACCTTTTATTTAACAAAATGAAATACCCTGTTGATATTTTTAATTTTATGTGTTCAGAATACAAATTGATTTTTAAGGGAACAAGATGTACACTAGTGTTGTTTAAAAAAATATACTGGAAATTGCTATCACCAACTGTTTTGTAATTGCTCGATATTTTAACGAAACAATTTCATATTGTTCTTATATCAGAACACTTGGAAAAGAATTGTATGTGAACAATCTCAGAAAAAGTTCTAACGAAAAATGTTTAAGTTGGGTTTTTGAGTATTATTCTTCAGTTGGTATCGATTTGATCCAGCCATTTAATGTCAAAAAATGGTGAATATTTCAAAACTGACAGAAGAATTTGCTAAGTTAATCTTGTTAGAAAAAAATAAACAGACGATTTATTCTCTTCAATTGTAAGTATGTATATTTACGATAAAAACAATCTATGAATTCATGTAAATCATATTAATTAAATGTCACTTCAAGTGAAGACAAAACGTTTATTACAAACGTTAGTCGTCTGGGCATTCGTTTGTTTTTTATTATAAACACTCGGGATGGTTTAAAATAATAATAATTCGAATATCTTAGTAATTTTTTTATCATTTGAATATTAATTTAACTAAAATCACAAGGATAAAAATCCAGAAAGGAGTTCAAACGGGTTTTTCCTCTTTTTTTGTTAATTTTTATATACGACTAATAACTAAAAAACAACTATTTATTTTTTTCATATAAAATCGAAAAAAAAGAACTTTTAACTTTTTAATAACTTTATAAAAAATCATTTATATTATAAACATTTTATAAAATAGTTTTTTATGATATAAAACAAACAACAAGTCATTTTTGATGAGTCAATTATATCGTCTACAAGGTTTTGGTTGTTGTATATAAAGAAAATAATATATATTAATGATATATTGTCGGATTCATATGTATTATGCAAAGATTATATCATAATCATTTTTTTATAAACAATTTTTAAAATGTGTTAATTTTTATTGAAACCATAATGTTGTAATAATTGTAACTGATGTATAATATTATTTTATATGCTCTAATATTGTTTTATTTAACAATGTCTATTTAAACAACAAATAAGAAGTTAATTCAATAAATACACATTAAACAAAAATATATTACAACATTGAACTGAGTTAGAAATTAATTCTTATCAATATCAGTAAGAAATTTAAACAATAAAGACTCTTAATAATCTTTTAATTGCAAATTACACAACAAATGATAAGAAGTTGATAGACAACGACGTTTATATATACAAAAAAATATTATAAAACAAGAACTTCAAGTTTTTAAAAAATGAGTTTAACATATGATTATACAAATTTAAAGATTGAATGAATTGGTTTTAAATTTATTTCTTTGTTTGTCTGATGATTATATAAATTTAACATGAATTTTTAATATTTGTTGTTGTTTGTTCCAAAATTAAAAATAATACACAACATTCTTTTTTGCTTTTCAAAAAACAATAAAAGACAAAATAAATTTTAGATTTTATTTTTAGTTTATTGACTAAATAAAAGACCAAAAATGTATTACTTGAAAAAAATGCAGAAAAAACGGCTGGATCTAAAAGATCCAAGGAGGTAAAAATTATACTTTTATACCAAAATGCAAGATTTCATGGTAAATTAATTTTACGTCAACCTTATTGAAAAGAGGGAAAAATGAGTTTTCTTTAGCAATGTATTTGTCAACTCAGTAAACTGGGGGTGATAATTAAAAAAGTTCATTTAAGCATATTACATTGCATGTTGTAAAAGAAACCGATTTTTTGATGGGGTTAGCACGGACGTGTTGTTTTATTTCCTTGAAGGAATTAGACATATCCATTCATGGTCTTTTTAATAAAGCATTATTCAGTTATATTTTATTATACTAATAAAATATAAAAATAGAAGGTTGATATTTACAGAAGTTTTTTCATTAAACTGTAAATATATTTGATGATATCAAACATAAAAAACTACCAAAATTTCACTTTTCAATAAAATTGATGCAATTTCTCACAACGATTTTTACATTTTTGGTGTCTCCACTTATAGTTCTCAAATTTTCACAAGACTGAACGTGTATTTTCTTTGTATTACAACCAACAACAATTTCTTGAAGTTCACGACATCCCTTCACAACAATTTCTTCAACTTCATTTTCACAAACAATTTTTGTGCATTTCATCCAACACAACTTTTCCTTCTTCTTTTTGACAACATAAACTTCCTTTCCTCTTTCAGCAAATTTTGTCTCTGATGTTCTGATTTCGACGTTTTGATCACCGCCACTGATTTTTCGATATAGAATTTTTCCAGTGTCAACGAATTTGGTGTTTCTGTTCAGCACAATTTCTTTGACGAAGAAAGGGTGTTCTGTCTCTAAAATTATCTTTTTGGCGTTACATTTTTTCAAATCAACCATTTGCTGACCTCTGTTCGAAATGATGATATGTAAAACATCGACACTTGACATGTTATATCTCTTGTAATGATAAATATGATCATCGTCAAATGGACTTGTGTTGTAAAACATACACACTTCACATTTTTTCACATTGCCATACACTTCAAGTAAATTAAGACTGTTTATTTCAACATGTTCAAAACACACAACACGAGAATTTTTGTGACTATTTGATACAGTGGTTTCGTCCTGTTTGCCCAAATGTTTGTCACTTTTAGATATAATTTGCAAGTCAAAATCCACTCCTTTGTGAACAACATTCATTGAGATTGAATAAACTTTTTCGACATTTTTGCAAAACAATTTGAGGGGTTTGTAACTGTTAATAAAAACATTTTTTGCATCCTCAAGATATACATTTTCTCCATTGAAATCATTGGTATATGACAAGTTCAAGTTGATTCCTGGCAAATTTGGAATGCATCTAGTGTCAAAATAACTTACTTTTGATACCTTTCCTGCCACAAAACGAATATTATAATTTGGATAAACTTGTTTCGTATCATCTCCAGTCTTTTCTTGAAAATCGATTTGGGTCAAAATAGCAGTTTCGTTGTTTTTAGGAAAATTCACAAATTGCGACAATTTCGACTTAACAATTTTGACTGAACCACTCCAAATCACATTAATTTGTGAATTGGAAATTTCTTCAAAGCTTGAAAAAATGGTTTCGTTTGCAACTTTCAATTCCTTGTTGCTATTATCAAAGATAATAGAAGAACTTTGGTTGCATATCAAATTGGAGTATTCGCTCTGTGCAACTGTTACATTTTTGCAGTTAAAGATGCGAAGTTTTTGTAACACCAAATTTGATATTTTCACATCTTCGCTTTGGCGGATTTTGAAAAAACAAAAATGTGAAAATTCAAAGAAAGACATTTTATTTGATGTATCAAGATATATCGAGTCTTTAATTTGCAATTTATCAAAAGTAATTTTGGTGCATTTTGTACATAATAAACGGTTTAATACCACGTTTGAAAATGTGCAATTTCGGCACTTCTCAATACACAACGTCATCAATTTGAAATCAGACAAATTCATGTTAGACAGTGACACAACATTCAATACTTTTATTTGTTTACTCAACACGCACATTCTATTTATTAAATCATCGACAAGAAGTAAAGGCGAAGTCAGTGGTATACGAATCAAATCCTTTTGCGACTTAACTTGTTCAGTGGTCGATGTCTCGTCTTCAATTTCTTCTTCATTTTGTATATCATTTTCAACAGTTTTATCTTCAAGTTTTTCTTGTCTTTCATCATCATCGTCTTTTATTGAATTAGCATTTTTATCAATTTCAATATTATTTGCATCTTCATTTTGTTCACCATTTTCAACGTCATTATCAGTCCAATTTTCATTGTCATAAATATCATCAGGAAAGGGTGTTGGTGTTCCATTATACCGTTCCATTCCTCTTCCCCTAAAACCACGTTTTGATTCTCTTCGAATTACATAAAAGTTTCTATCAATCAATTTTTCATTGCAATAATTATATCTTTTACTTCTTACTTCTTTGCTTCTTCTTGTGTTATTCATCCATTTGCCAAAGTTGCCTCTATTCGGTATATAGTCAAATTGATGTCGCATAGATCTGTCATACTTGAAATTGGTATTGTTCAGAGCACTTTGTGTTGTGACAGACACTTCACCAACAAACCGTGAATCATCAAGAACACAACACTTGTCAACGTATGTCTCTCCACAGTCAAACACATTAACATTTTGACTTCGCAACTTTGAAATGATCTTCTCAAACTCCTCTCGCATCACCTCTCTTAATAAACATTTTTCAACAAACAGTGCTATTTTGATTGTTTGCAACTTTTTCATTCGACTGCAATTTAATTTGTTTTTTTCAGTGTCAGAAACTTCAGAATTCTTGAACACCAATTCCAAGACAAGTAAATCGTCTTTGCCGTCCAAAAGCTGTGACATCATATAGAGATAGTTCGGGTCTGTACAATTCCACAACGTGATCTTTTCAATGCGTGGAAGGTCAATTATATCGACTATAAGTGGAATGTTGCGTCTCCATGCGTTAAGGTGGACAATTCTTAAATTAACAAATTGAGACGGTAAATAATTCCCAAAAGAGTTTCCAAAAAGGAACATATTTTCCAATTTTGGAACGACGGTTAATTGTAAAGGTTGGCTGTGTAAACTACCAGTGTATTCAAATGGTCGAGGCGTTTTAACTATTCGTATTTTATTTATTTTTGTATAAAAAGAAGTTGGAGTAGTCAGCATATATTCAGTGCATTGAAGAGTGTTGATTTTTGGGAACGTTTTTTTCAATAAAGTTGAAAATTTTTAAATACAAAATGTTTTGCTCTTTAATACTTAGTTTAAGAATTTCATTAGAAACATCTATATAAGGATTGATATAAAGAGATGTAAGGCAAGATTGACACTTTTTATTGACCAGCATAAAGTTTTGTAAAGTGTTCATCGTGTTCAAATACAGAGAAACGTTCATCAAATAAAAATTTTCCAATTTCGTCATTGTTGTTTTCAATGTTTATTTTTAAGTTTTTATTATAATCTTATATTGTTTTTTATAAACAATAATTCATTTTATAGCTTTTATATATAAAAGGTGTGATGTTTGAAACATAACCAAACAAGAACTAATTTTTACTATTATAAAACATATATATTATTCATTTTTTAAAAAAGATAGAATAAACAAAAAAATTAAACTAAATTTTTATTAATTGCTCAGAAAACATAGTTTTGAACTGTTTATCAATAGACTGTCCATCGTTATCAATTATGCTGAAATTGAAAAGCAATGTTCCTTATTGCCGATATAAAAGTTGACCACACATATAACCGACTTTTGCTTTTACAAATAAAATATATATTTAATTCCGTTTTTTAGTTGTAATTAAATAATATATTGAAACAATTGTTTTTAAATTGTTTTTAAATTAAATTTCATTCAAACACATTTTTAAAAAATCTTCAAAAATGACAAATTTCAAAATGTTATTGAATATATAAATTGGAAATATAGTCTAATAAAAAAACTATACTTTATAATTATTTTGTCAAATTAAACAAAATAATTAATAGTTATTTTTTCCATTTTTTGAATATGTACAAAAATATATATAAATATATATAAATATTAATAATAAAATTTATTTATATTTTTTCAAATGTTTTTAAAGTTTCTGTTGAATTGTAAGTATTTTATTCAAGTCAAAAACTAATATTAAATAGTTTATTATTATAATATTTGTTTTATTATACAAAAATGGGTTCTAAACAATTTGTATTTGTATAACCAATTATTTATCTATATTTCAATTCAGAATTTAATTTTTGTATAGAAACATTGTTTAAAATAATTAATGTAATTTTTAATCATATAATTTTGATAAAAAAATAAGACACATAAAAAATATATTTATGAACAAAAAACAGAGAAAATAAAATCCATTGTTTAAATTTGTTTTGTTAATTTAAAAATCTCGTTAAATAAGCATTTTACTCATAATAACATATCTGAGTATTCATTTCAATTTAATGGAACCAACTGCATTATCACAAACACCCACAGATGAACTTTTAGCCAAAGGCGACCTAACTACAATCATCGACTTGAACACACCAGAAGAGAAAAAACAAATTAAATACTCCTTCTTGTTTAAATCAATCAAATACACACGAAGAATATGATAATCATATCATCCTTGGCAGTACAAACAACACAATATGGTACAAAGATAAAAATTTCCATAAAATGAGTGGTCTTCTTACTATCATTTTAATCTTCTTTATTTGTGAGTTGGTGACGGGCATTGTCATACATTCCCTTGCTTTGTTGGCAGATGCATTCCACATGTTAAGTGATTTAACGTCACAAATCATCGGACTCATTGCCATATTGTTATCTAAAAAGAAAGCATCCCCAAATTACTCTTATGGATACTTTAGAGCTGAAATACTTGGCGCACTCACAAATGGCATATTCTTGTTGTCTGTTGGCTTATTCATATTTCTAGAAGCCGTAGAACGGTTCATACAAATTCAGGTCATCACAAGTCCTGTTGTCATGTTAGTAGTCGCTATTTTGGGACTTCTGGTGAATGTCGGAGCAATGTTTCTATTCCACGACCACGACCATCACCACGTTGGACATTCCCATGATCACGTGCATGGGTTGCTTAATGTGTTTAAAAAGAAAGACAACAAACAATTTGAAGTGTTTCAGAACAAAGAAATGGACGAAGAAAACACTGAAGGCGATTCACAAGTGTTCGACGAAAACGTATTAAAAACACAACAAACCGAAGAACATCCAGAAACCCCAGAAATTGACGTGAACAACACAAAAAGTGAACTCATCAAAGGAAATCGTTTGTTTTCTATTAAATTAGTAAATAAATATATTATATTTATTTATTTATATAATGAGTGTTATATATAATTATAATATTATAATTATAACAACTAGAATTACAAAATGCTGAATCCAAAGAAAATGGTGTTGACATTGAAAATCAACATCACCACAAAAATTTAAATATCAGAGGAGTTTTTCTGCATGTGATGTGCGACGCACTTGGAAGTTTCGTGGCCGTAATAGTTGCACTTGGGGTGTTGCTTATTGATGGAGATTGGAAATATTACTTGGACCCATCACTCTCACTTGTTGTTGCTTGTGTTGTGATGACATCGGGAATGCCGTTAGTCAAATCGTGCGTCAAAATTTTGATGCAAAGCGCCCCACACGACTTTTCGATTGAAAAAATCCAAAACAAAATTGTATCAATCAAAGGAATTGCACAAATACAGGAAGTCCACGTTTGGCAACTTGCAAATGACAACGAAGTTGCAACGGTAAACATTGAAATTAAAAAGGAAAACAAAGATAATGTGTTTGAAATTGTTCAAAACGTTAAACGCCACCACATGAATTATGTCACCGTCCAGCCTGAAATTTAAAGTAAATGAATTTATGGTGTTTTATTTAGGAACAGCTTTTTTCACCGATTTTATACAAATTAAATGTTTGCCACAATTCGAAAGAAGTTGGAACTAGCTATTGGTTGTACACCCATTTCATACACTTTCCTTGTCCATATTATGTCGAAATTGACGTGGTTAAATCACGTAAAAAAATAATAAAGTTTGGTTGAATGATTTACTTTTTCATATTTTACATAAATCAATTCGTTTTTTAATCCAATTGATTATTGAAAATTAATTACAATTGAGAGATATCTTTCAAATTTCATTTTACTACACTTTCTAATTTATTTGTCAATTTCATGATAATTTAATTATTTAAATGTTTATACCAAAAATATATATGGATTAAAGTGATTTATTATATTTAAAAATTAAAAATAAATTAAAGTATAGCAAGAGTGGCCGAGTGGTCCAAGGCGCTCGTTTCAGGTACGAGTCTTTTCGAAGGCGTGGGTTCGAACCCCACCTCTTGCATTTTATACACTTTTGCTCTATATTATTTTTTAACAATTTTTAATTGATTTAAAATTAGAATGTTTATTTGGAATATGAAAAGTAAAACAAATAAAAACTCCAAAGAGTGAGGCGAACTGAAAGAACTGCCTAACGATATCTTCAACCAAAAACTTTAACCAATTGATATATAAGCAACAACTTGAAAGAAGAAGACATTCAAATGGGAGAAGAAGGAGCTGAAGTACAAGCACTTGTTGTAGATAATGGATCCGGTATGTGCAAGGCCGGTTTTGCTGGTGATGACGCACCACGAGCTGTCTTCCCATCAATTGTTGGCAGACCAAAACAGGTCTCAGTCATGGCTGGTATGGGCAACAAGGACACCTATGTCGGAGATGAAGCACAATCAAAGAGAGGTATTTTGACTTTGAAGTACCCAATTGAGCACGGCATTGTCAACAACTGGGACGACATGGAGAAGATCTGGCACCACACTTTCTACAACGAGCTCAGAATTGCACCAGAAGAGCACCCAGTCCTCTTGACTGAAGCCCCAATGAACCCAAAGGCTAACAGAGAAAAGATGACACAAATCATGTTCGAGACTTTCAACGTCCCAGCCATGTACGTTGGAATTCAGGCTGTCCTTTCATTGTACGCCTCTGGTAGAACAACTGGTATTGTCATGGATTCTGGTGACGGTGTCTCTCACTGCGTCCCAATTTATGAAGGATTCTCACTCCCACACGCCATTCTCAGAATTGATCTTGCTGGTCGTGATCTCACCGACTACCTCATGAAAATCTTGACTGAAAGAGGATATTCATTCACCACAACTGCTGAAAGAGAAATTGTCAGAGACATCAAGGAGAAGCTCTGTTACGTTGCTCTTGACTTCAACGAAGAAATGCAAAAGGCTGCCTCATCATCAGAACTCGAGAAGTCATACGAACTTCCAGATGGTCAAGTCATCACCATCGGCAACGAAAGATTCAGATGCCCAGAAGCACTCTTCCAGCCATCATTCCTTGGTATGGAAGCATCAGGCATTCACGAGACTACTTACAACTCAATCATGAAGTGCGATGTCGATATCAGAAAGGACTTGTACGGAAACATCGTCTTGTCTGGTGGAACATCTATGTACCCAGGCATCAACGACAGACTTGAGAAGGAGATGGTTGCTCTTGCGCCACCAACAATGAAGATCAAGGTCATTGCACCACCAGAGAGAAAGTACTCTGTCTGGATTGGAGGCTCAATTCTTGCCTCGTTGTCCACTTTCCAGAACATGTGGATCACCAAGGAAGAGTACGACGAGTCTGGCCCAGCCATCGTCCACAGAAAGTGCTTCTAAAACTTTTTGTTTTTAATTTTGTTTTTTGAATTTTAAACACAATATAAAGCATTCTAAAAATTTTTAAGTCGTCAACATTAAGATTCTGATAAATAAATAAATTCACAAACAATTGTTTTAAAAATCAATAATTCAGAAATAGTTTTAAACAGTTATTATATATTTTGTACAGATTTATAATTTCTAATAATTATCATAAAAAAATAACGTTTGTAATGGAACGAATGTTATTAACTTACTTTATTTAATTGAAATATATATATCAATTGATATATATATAAATTTAAACAATTTATATTTGTTATTATAATAATTATTTTCATTTGTTATCATGTTAAGGATATTTAGTCTATTAAGTATTTATTAGTCATTCATTTACCGTTTTTTGAATAAATTTATGGTTTTATTTAACAATATCAATTTTATATAATCACACCTTTTCATTAGTCACCATTATCAAAAAATATTATAAAATAACATGTTTTATAAATTATTTATAAAAATGCCTATGATATATAACTTGTAAAATTACAAATTATTTTGACAACAATTATTTTTGTGTTATTTTATCAATAAAAAACAAAAAACCAAAAACTTGTTGATAGTTAAAAACGCACAATTTAAATTAATTATTTTTAAATAAATGGCATAACAACATATTATATTTTTGTGTTTTGGTATTTTTTGATTTGAAGTATTTATTTAAAAATTATGGTGTATATTTATTAATGTTCTTCAAACCACAATGAGGTTTATGTGTTCAACAAACAAACAGATAACAAACCTTTTTAATTATTTGGTATTATTTTGATAAAAAAATCAAATTTTATTTTTTAAAATTGGAATAGGTATAATACTTTTTTACTTTTTTTGAATTCAATTAAATTTATTTTTTTATTTATCTATTGTTTTTTTTAAAAAAATGTTTGTTTAATTCATATGTAAAATAGTCTTACATCTATAGTCTTGTTATTATATGTTATTATTAATATGAGATGTTCAGATTAAAAAGAAAGTATCTTGTACAATATGTTCAATCATTTTAAAACAATTTGAGTCACAAATCGTTGTTATTATTATTATACTAAAATATAATTATTTACTACAGGGAGGATAAAAAACCGCTTCCATCTTTTTAACCGCTTCCAATCGATTTAATAGTTATAACTAATAACATTATGATAAAAAGTATAATACAAATTACCACCTAGGACAGAAAAAGTCTCTACGAGGCATATTCAATATTCATGGTAAATAGTACTATACATTTTATTATATTAATATTATTAAAATCTATAAAATCAAGTGGAAGCGGTTAAAAAGATGGAAGCGGTTTTTAGCCCCCCTGTACAAGACAAAATTAATCAATCATAATCGGTTTATTACTACCAAATCACAATTTTTAGTGTGATTGTTGTAATTATTTAATTATTTAATAGTTTTATACACAATGAGCTTTTTTATTTAAATAGGCATTGCATTAATACTTGTTTTGTGAATACAGTAAAACTTCTCATTAAGAAAACCTCCCATTAAGAGAATCCTCTTATTAAGAGACGTTTTAACCAATCAAAATTAAAAACACTTATTGGGGGGGAAAAATAAAAATTTCATAACCACTATTGGGGGTTTTATTTTCCCGTTCAATCTACTAATGAAAGGTTTTACTGTATTCCTTATTTTAATTATCACCGAAATATTGTTTTAATAAAAAACGACAATGTTTTTTACAACTTGTTTTTTTATATACAATAATTTAACAAGGTATGAGGTCATGATATAAATAGATATATAAATTATTATTGTTATAGTTTCAAATAATTATTTAAACTAATATTTTTTAGAATAGTATATGCTATATATTTATAGAATAAATAATTTTTAATAAATAAAAAATATTATAAGAAATATATAAAATCTTTAACAAGATTATTTAAATACTTATAAAAGTATGTCAAAAAGTTTACACTATTGTATAAAAACAATAAAAATTGAAAAAATTTAATATAACAACGAAATAATATGTAATTTTTGTACTTAAATTATAATTTAATATGATATTCTAATATGTTGGTAATAAGATATAGTTAAATATTTTTAAAATTTACTATATCGATTTGGGTGAAATTGTTTTTTTAAAAATAACTTTTAAAAAGTGATAAACGAAAAATTAAAAAAATAATAGAAAATCTATTTTGAGATATTTAAATGTTTTTGCACTTCAATTATCATTAAAAATGGCGAATATTGTACTTGACAAATACAGACTTGTGAATACACAAGACCCAGAACGTGCTTTCACGTGTTTGAAAACTGCCAATCAAACTTTTGAACAGAAAAGGGCTGACATCCAAAGTGCTGGTAAAGAAGCAGATGTTGAAAAAGTGAAAGAAGACGCAACAGCATTATATCACACCATTTGCGTGAAAAAAGCTGTTCAAGTATTGAAGGGTGGAAGTCCTAAATACAAAACACTTAAAGATGCTATGGCGGCAAACAACTGGAGAAATTACCAGTGTTACATTGGTATGGTCAAGAATGATTTCACAAAAGAGTTGGTCAGAGAAGAAAATGTCACTGTTGTTTCTTTAATAGATGAAATTATTAAAGATAGTCCAGACCTCGAAGAGTTCATCAAATTTTACACTGAAACCAATCACGAAGAAGTTATAGAAAACTTGAAGAAAGAAGAAGCATTCAATAACGAAGAAAAGAAACAAATAAATTTACTCAACCAAATGAAAAACATCTATTCATATGACGGTTTCGCAAAACAACTTGAAACATTTAAAACAAAGTGTGAAGAAATGAAAGAAGAATATGAGAAGAGAAATATTTCTCATGATGAAGATATCAAAAACGCTGAAATCAAATTGAGGCAATTTGCAGTCGAAAGTGTGTTTAAGGCTCAATTTGCGTCTTTAAAATCAAAACTCGAAAATTACAAGAGAAGTATTAACATCAAAAATGCTAATCTCGAAAACATGAAGAAAATGGTCGAAACAAATATCAATTTGGTTAATATCAGATCATTACCGGAGTCTTCGTTTATAGGTATGAAAGACGAACTTTTACAACTCAAACCCGAGGCTCAGATTATTTTTGATATGTATGATGAAATGATGGGCGGAAGCACTCCTATTATTCAAGAAGTAAAGAAAGTGGAACAAAAAGTCCAAACACCAGCTACCACCCAAAAAGTTGTTCCAAAAGTCGAGCCACCAAAAGTAAAACAAACTGTAACTCCAAAAATTGAGCCACAGAAAACAACTCCACAAAGTGTTCCAAAAGATGAAGCACCAAAAGTGAGTGAAGAATTCGACACAAAAAGAATTGCTAAGGACTTTGTTGCTCAACTTGAGAAAAGTCGGTTTGTTGACGAGTCAAAGAATCTTGAGAAATTCAAAGTTGCAAGAAATTTAAATATGTTTGTTTCGACTTATTTCAAAGTCGAAAGAATGTTACTTGGATTTACTATAGCTGAACCAAACTTTTGTGCACTTGAACTCAAAAGTGAGATAACTGACATCAAACCAGCTTTCTCTGAGTATTTTGAATACTTTGAAAACATGAGTATTGTCGATGAAATAAACGAAATACAAAGTTATTCAGAAGCAAAAGCAACTGAAGATGTTTTGAAAAAGAGTAAAGACCAAGTCTTGATGTCAAGAGACTTTTTGACTGCAATGGAAAAGGTCAAATTGTTCAATCAAGAGATTTTGAAGGACAATGGCAAAATGTCCAAATTCAACATGACTGTGAAAACAGAGGAAATTGAAACGAAGTTGAAAAATCTGTTTTTGGATGAATTTGTTCAACAAATAACAGGAAGTTATTTCACAAATTTCACAAATGCTTTGAAAAAGGGGGACAATTCAGAGGTGCTAAAAATCAGTGGAGATGTCGATGAAATTTTCAACAAACGACGTGTTGATGGATATGAAGAGAATGCGTTGATGCTGAGAGATGAAATTGAAAATTACAAAAAGGAGACAAAAACAACATTCAGAAATTTTGATGAAATCAAAACGAAATCAAGGGAAGTGCTTGGATACTGTGGGATGCCAAAGACTGAAATCCACGATGACAATTATAATTTGGGGCTTTACAAAAAGGAATTTGATTTTTCAAAATATGTTGAAAAGCAAATAGAAAGCAGCGACACAACAGAGAAAATCAAACCAAACTTTGTTTATCGAAATACACAAAAGAAGTTCGTTGAGAAGTCCAAGTTAAAAGATTACATAAAAATTGTTCAAATTTGTGACAAATTGTGGAATTTATCGGGAAATGCTGTAACGTTTAATCAAAACTTGAATATTTTAAAAGAGAGTTTTGTAAGCCAAAAAGAATATTTTGAAACAATTGATAGAGTAAAAGAAGTTGAATTTATGATCAAGCAAATGGACGACATTTTGGAGATTCAAATTGTGATGAAGATGTTTGACAAGATGAAAAACATTAAATCGTTAGCTACCAATTTGGAGACTTACACCAGAAATGGGCAATCACAATACATTGAAAAGATCAACACGGATATGAGAAATGCATTGAGCCAACAAGTTATATTGGAAAAAACACCAGAAGATTACAAAGAGACAATTCTGAAGTATTCGTCATGTTGGGAGCTGTTATTTAACACAAAGAGCGACGACGAAATCCAACAACTCAAAGAAAACATCGAAGATACAAAAGCTATTGAAAAGATCAAAAGCACTGTCAAAAACACGATGCAACGATTGAAAGGGAATTTCAGTATCGACATCATCAAAGATGGAATTGCCAAACTCGACGAAACAACAGAAAACGAGAATGAATTATTACAGAAATTTGACTTGAATTTTGAGAGTGAGAAGAAAACACTTGAACAGTCTATAACTGGTGTTACAATAAGAAATTGCCAAAAAACACTCATTGATGAAATTAGGAAATATTTCTTAAAGTTACAACCAAAGAACACAAAGGATTCGTATATCCCAAGCATCACCATCAATTACATCAAAGAACTTTTGATGCAAAATTTGACGTTTTCTGAAAGTCCAAATGAAAACGACACAAAAATACTTGCTGCTGCAAAAGCCATGGGTGACGTCTTTTGTACTGAGATTTCTGGAGTTCCAAGTGCGATAGCCAACAGCTATGAGAAAATAGTCACTCAGAACGCACAGCTGTATTTACTTTTCGAGTTTGTAGAGTTGTACAGAAGTTCAAAAAGAATTGTAATAAATGGTACTTCGATAACAAACAACGAGAATGACACACCAAACACATTTGATGAAATACTTGATTCGTTGTATTCAAAAGAAATGTTCATTTACATCACTGAAAGCGAGAGCGGCGTTCTTTCATATATCAAACTGAACGAAATGAAAAGAATTTTGGAGAACAACACAGACGTTTTGAAGCAGAAGGGCGTCTTCTCTCAACTTGAACAAATGGTTGCAACGTGTGAACAAAAAGTGAAGAAGAATATATCCAAAGTACTCTGTGAGTGGTATCTGATGTTTGTGGGACAGCCAATCAAACAAGCAGAAGCAGCCAAAATTGCATTCAATTCGTCCAAATTCACAGAAAAACTGAATGAAGCCAAAGAGAATATGAATGGGCAAGTGAATGGAGTCGGTGGTCTGTACTTTATTGATTATTTGGATGAAATGAAAAACACCAATAGTAGCGTGTATGAAATAGCTCAATTGTATGATGACAACACTGAAAATGAAAGTAACAACTCTCAATTAGTCAAAAGCAAAGAAAAGGTATGTGTTTATAACAAAAAATATTTATCTAACTGTGAAAATGCCAATAAGGTCTTAAAAACCAATCCGGTGATATCAAGAGAATTTTACTTGTTAGCTCAAAAGATATACACTCAATACAAAAAGCTGTTTGATGAAGCCGAATATTTTTATGAAAGCGATTTAATGGAACTGGACAAAACAACAGAAGAAGAATGTTTCAATTTGGTTTTATGTCGAATGAAAGATGTCAAGAAAAAAGTATCAGAGATTGAAAAAGAAATATCTTCAACGTTTGAAGGTGAACTCATCAAAAATCATTTTAAAAATGCAACAGAGTTATTATCACAAATTGAAAGTGATAAATATTATCCATTCAGTTGCATCAATTTGAAAGAAAGACTTGAAAAAGTCGATGCAACGTTTGTCCACACGTTTGAATTTATAGAAACGACACAACCAAATATTAACTCGATTTGTGACAAAATTGACGCTTACAATTTGGAATGTAAAACAAAGAAAGAAATGTTGAACAAAGTGAACAAAGATTATTTATCATATCTTAATATTATTCGAAAAAACAACCATACAAATCCGGTGAAAGCAAGAGAATATTACTTGTTAGCTCAAAAGATATACATTCAAAACAAAAAGCTGTTTGATGAAGCCGAATATTTTTACGAAAATGATTTGATGGAACTGGACAGAACAATAGAAGAAGAATGTTTTAATCTTATTATTGCAAGAATGAAAAGTGTGAGCAAACGAAAAGCCAAAATGGTCAAAAACATAGCTAATAATATCGATGGCAATAAGTTGAAAAATGATTTTCAAAATGTTATAGAAACACTTGCATCAATAGAGAATGAAACGTATTATCCATTCAGTTGCAACGCTTTGAGGGACAGACTTGTGCAAACAAATCCAAAAAATGAAGAAGTTTTTAATTTCGTTGAAACAACACAACCACAACTCGACGCTATTTGTGAAAAAATTAACACTATTAATTTACAAAAGAAAATTGAAAATGATCGACTTGAGAAAGAAAAAAAAGAAAAGGAAGAAGCTGAAGAAGCCGAAAGACAGTTAATGGCAAAGAAAATTTTTGAATATAACAATGAAGGGTATTATTTGGAAAACTTGGCCAATTTCCTTGAAAGAGAATTTTCACATGAAAGTCCTTCGTTCATTCATCCATACTCGAAAATAGCAGTTATAGTGAAACAAGCATATCTCTTCACTAAAACGTTTGTATCAGTTGACAACAAAGACATTCTGCGTATAAAAAGTCTTTATGAGAACATCAACAAAATAACTCTTGAAAACAAATTCAGTTTCGATGAAATCATTTTGTTGTTGGGAGCCGAAAGTGCGACGTATTATTCCGAACATCGATATAAGCATAATCACCCCAAATTTGACGCTGTAGTCCATAAGACTAAATTTGAGAAAATTATTAAATTGCTTGAAAACAACAAACGAGACACAAAGGAATTGAAGAAGAAATTTATGTTGGCAAGAAGCAAAGACAAAAAGCCTGAAGAAATTGAAAAGGAAAACGCACTTTTGGATTACAGAGAAATTAATTTCCAAAGTCATTTTAAAAATTATTTCACAGAAGACAACGAAGATGAAAATCCAGAAATGGTCACTTTGATGAAAAAGTACTTCAACTTCTGCTACAATGGAAATTACACATTCACTGATAAAAACATTGAAATTGTTAATCATCTGAAAAAGGACTTTTTAGAAAAGTTGGAGACCGTCTTTGGCTTACAAGAGGAGGGTTACTACGATGAAGCCAAAAACTCACTGAAAGATGCGTTGATCGCAAAGATCAATTTGGTCGAATTTTTGGATTTTGAAAACATAACAAGTCAACGAGAAAAGTTGTGGAGAACCTGCCAATTTGTGATTAAGATGGAGAAGATCTTATACTCGCTTGGAGTTGCGTTTGAGTTCTTTGACTTGAAATACAGTGACCTCCCAAAAGTTCTGCAAGATGAAATCAAACTGTACAATTCAGTGATGTTGATCAAGGCGTGCAGTGTAGTTCAATATGTCAGATTTATGAATACTCTTGACAACGTCCATCAAGTGTATTTGAATTACAACAACAACTTGGTACTCAAATTGCAATCAGTCATACGAACATTGGCAACTCAAGATTACGATATTACACGCGATCCAATAGTCACTGAATATGTCAGACAGTCAATGACTGAAACTGTTGTGGATAAGAACAACTTAGTGTTGTATGAAAGTGAGTCAAAGTACACTGAAAACATGTTGAATATGTACAAGCCGATATTATCAGATGGAGTCTCTCTAACATCGTCGAAAAACAAATTGTTCACGTTGAATGCCGTCTCACAATTTTTGCTCTCCAATTACGCGTTCTTTGATGAGGTCACCGAATTTAGTCGCAATGTAAATGCTACACTATTGAACAAAGAGAACTTCGGCTTCATTCCAAACATTTTCAATTTAATCACATCAACTGTTGCAATCGTTAACAGAACACCACAAAGCGATGATATCTGGATCAAATGTCCTCGTTACCGATGGGATTATGAATCACACTTCACAGAAGAAATTAAAAGTATATGGACAATGGAAGTCAAAATGGCATACAACTACAGAGTTTTACTTATTAACACAAACTATTCAATAGTCAATTATTTGCTATGCAAAAATTGGAGTAGTCAATATGAGTACAACATCTTAATGATTAACACAATAACAGACTTGGACTCAAAACCAAATTTTGATTTTAAAACGAATGAAAATGAATGTTACAGAACACATATGAGATGGATTGTTAACAACTTTGGTATAACAGAAAGTAAACGAAATTATGAAATTCAAATGAAAAGTTGTGTGAATGCAATTTCTGGTATTATTTCATTTGCTGGATACCAACTTGACAGACCAAAAGTATTCCCATCACTCAACTATTTTGGAGCATCCGTTCCTATATGCAAATACACTGAGCATCTCACTGCTAGTGAAATTGAGACGAAAATTGATTCGACGATGTTTGTTGAGACGTTCAGAGTGTATTTCGAGAGGATGAAAGAGCAAGAGCGATATTATAAGCAAAACAGTATCATGTCTAATGCTATTTTTGAGTTCTTAAGAGATCGGATAGGACAAAATTTCAAAGAAATTTGTGTAACAAATATTGAAGGGTTATCAAATGATTTTATGAAAGAAAGATATGACCAATTTGTTGGGATATATGCAGATTGTGTCACATTAAATAACGATGACGAGTCGTTTGTAGTCAATAAAACGGCAAATGGATTTGAAGTGAAGGCGAAACTTGGTGAAAATGCTATTGGAAATCGGTTGACGTTTAATTACGTCTTTAATAAAAAGTATGATAAAATGGGACTTTCTTTCGACCACGGAAAATGTGTGAAGAATGAGAACAATGTGTTTGTGTGGACTTATAAAGATTATAAAGCATTTGATCATACCGAAGAACTGAATTATCAATTCGACCAGAAGGACATTAACCTCCCAAAAGACTTAATTGTCATGATATCTTATATTGGTAAGATGGAATTGTACTACGACTTAATCAATAAAAAAGTTGAAGAAGACATTAAGCACGAAAGAATGGTAAATGAACACAATAGAATACAAGAAATGGAGAGATTGGAAAGAGAAAGAATTTTATGGCAACATGGAATTACTTTCTTTTAAGAATTTTTAACTATTTTTTCTTATTTTATTTGTGTTTTATTAAAACTCTAAAATGGTATAATAATCATTTAATTATAGTAAATAATTAAACAATTTGTATATAGATAATCAAACTATTATTTTATTAATAATAAAGTAATAAATTATATTATTATTATAATTATAATTATTTATATTATAATTATTAACGACAAACCACCAATCAAAACAAAACTAAATTGACCATTCACGTGGATGGACCACAAAAGTCCAAGTGATTGGCCATTTTGATTTTGTAAGCCAGTGATGGGTATATAAAGCACACTGAATTGCAACATGACAATGAGTTGTGGGTGTGAGAAAAAGTGCAAATGTGAAGGCAGTGAAGCGATCACTTGTGGGTGCTGCTGCCAAGATGGGAAGTGCTGCTGTGACTTCAAATGCAAATGTGGTGCTGAAGGGAAGTGTGAGTGCTGCTGTTGCTGCAAAGAGGGAAAGTGCCAATGCAAGACATTTGCAACTGGGATGACCATCACCTGTGAGTGCTGCTGTGAGGGATGCAAATGCACATGTGAGTGCAAATGTGGAGAGAAGAAGGTGTGCCAATGCCAGAAAGAAGCATCAAGTGGGTGCTGTTGTAGAAAGACATGCTAAGTCACTCTTTTCATGTCTTTATTTGTTTGAAGTGTTGTTTGTATAATTGTGAAATGAAAATACAAATTTTAATAAAATGTGAAACCAAAGTAATGTATTGTGTATTTACATCTTTGTTTGCATGTATTGTTTTAAGTATCGAAAATATGAACTTTTCTTGATAAAAAAGTGAAATGTTAAATTAATATGAATTGAAATATAAACTAAACTACTATAATCTTGATTATAAAAAGTTTTAATTATAACAGTAATTACATTTCAGACATTGACAAATCAATGATTAACGCAAATTTCGACATCGAAACCAGTTTTTATTTATTTTATAAATGTTACAAACATTGAAATAATTAAAAAAAAACAAAATTGATATTAATGTTGAAAATATATGTAAAATATATAGTTTTAACTCCCAGAATGAATTGTGAAAGTGTCTTTTTTAACTGTTATATTTGATTAGTTTGTAAACGTTAAATTATTTGAATTAAATAAATCAATAAATATATAGTTAGTTTTCTCTAAAAGTTGTTAAATAGTCAAACAAACAACAAAAATAATACAAACACAAAATACATACTAATTAGTAATTTCTCTGGATAAAAGTGTCATCACCACACCATTATTCAAAATAATCTCTTTTGTATCTTTCTTTTCGACTTCGCAGTAATTCCAAATTGTTTGTCCAAGTCTTTTTATCATCACTTTGTCCATAACAGACCCATCAGGAAGTATAATGAATACATTCCCACCAATCCCCTCCCGATTCTCTGTGTCATACATCACAACAAATCCATCTTCAAAAAGAATGTCTTCCAAAAGATGAATGCACTCCCGCTTCTTTTGACTTCTCACTTTTCGCAGAGCCCATTTTCCACTCGAATTCTTCTTGTTGTAACTGGACATCCGTTCTTGTGCTCGTTTGGCAAGAAAACTCTGAACATTGAACACAAAAGAATACTCGTCGTTGTCAAAAAACACTTTTTGAATGTCGATGAATTTGTTGGAGTATTTACTCGGCTTCTTGAGGTGTCCAACAACAACACGTCTATTCATTGATATGAAAGCAAGCAGAGAGCACTGAAGATATGATAGCTGTGTCCGCTCATTGATACATTTGATCTTCTCGCTAACATGTGATAATGTTTCCATTGTTTTTAAAGATGGATAATACACATTTATATATTTATTGATGAAGATAATAATACACAATAAACTACCCAATTGATATTCACCAAATAATATTTGACAATATTAAAATAAATCTGTAATAACCATTTAATAAAACAACTATTAATTTTAATATTTGATTTTGATTTTTATATTTTATTTTTTGTGTTGCTGGATAACACAGGAATTATAAAAATTGAATTTATGTACTGTCTGCATAAAAACAGTCCAAACTCCGGGAAACACACCAAATGTTTAATTAAGTTTAGAATCAATTTTTATTGTTATGTGTTTCACAGTACAATTTGTCGACTTTGGAGGGTTTATGTTCCAAATTGTTTTATATTTATAGGTTTTATTTTTGTTTTGAAAATTCGTTTCAAATGGAAAAACAAAATACATTTTTATGTTATTTTTTAATTTTTTATAACTATTCAAAATATAAATTATTTTAGTTACTTTATTGGTTAAATTCAAACAAATACTCTGAATAACAGAACAGTTTGTTTACAAAAATAAGACATTTTTATATTTATTTGAAACTAAATAAATTAAGTGTTTTGTCTGTTTGTTGGTGTGTTGTGCAATTAAACTTGTAAAATTCATGAGATCAATTCATTGTTTATGATTATTTTGGTTAAATACAATTAACAATGTATTAAATACAAATAATATTACAGTCATTTAATCTAGCATTATTAAAAACTTTCTCTCTGATTTTTTTTCAAAATGTGGTTAATTTAATCATAACAAATTTATAATCAATAGTTTATATATTTTCCAAATAATATTAAAAACATTATTTGGAATAATGTTTTAATTTGGAGCAAATAACCATTTTGTTAATAATATAAATAATTTATTTTTGGTTTATATTATAGAAATAATGGGAAAACTATCTCAGAATGCAGGCTTTTTCCATAAAGACATATGACTGGATGAGACCCATCCACTGGAAACATGTATCTATTTTTTCAATCCACTAGACAAACCACTTTTTAATGGATGGCAAAAATAAATTTCAATATAAATAGATTATTCATTTTTTATGTAAATAAAAATTTATTTTGCCGATTAATTTGTATTGATTTTTGTAAATTAAAAAAAAATAAAGAAAGGTTTAAATATTTAAATATTGAAATTTGTATATTAATAATACAATATTTTTTTATTTAAATAAAAAAATGTAAGAATTATAATAAACAAATTTTAATATGTTCTTAAAAAGTTAATTTTGTGGCTCTAATAACAAATAAAAAAGATCTATTTTACATATGAAACGTTTAAACATCACGCACAACGACGAAAATTTTGACTTTTTAAAACAAAAATTAGAATTGTTTGATAAAAAAGTCAAAGAAATGGCAAAGAAACATTAAAAAACTAAATTGAAAAAATCGAGAAAAAAAATCAAATCGAAAAAATCGAAAAAAAAGAAGCCAAAAAAAGAAGTCAGAAAATACAACGAGAAAATACCAATTCCACTGGGTTTAGAGTTTAAAAACGACGTTCAAGATGTTCCAAAATTCACTCTACCATTAACCTGTCGATTACCTTTTGAAGATAATCATATATTGAATGAAGAAGACGTTGAGTTAATTAAAATTAGTTCAAAAGAAAAAGTGACAAAAAAGACACCAGAAGAAATACTTAAAAGATTAACAATGGAAGAAGACTATTGTAAATTTGAAAAAATTGAAATTAAAATGGAAAACAAAGAAGAAAAAATAGAAATAAGAGATGTAATGGATGGTATAGTTAATGATAATGTCCAAATGAAAGCACAGAGTGGCTTGACATTTTCACAATTTGATGAACTTCACAATATAATCAGATCTTCAGAAGTTGAATTTGTTCCAAATTGTGATTCACTTTTAAATAAGTTTGTGGTTTACTCTGAACCAAAAATAGAACACAAAAAGGGTTGAATACAAGAAGTCTTTTATTTATTTTCTTGTTTATTCTAAGAACGGGGCTTAATTATATACTCACATTTGTTCTTCTTAAACTTGAACGGTTCTCTCCAAATAGAGAAGCCGCCCCCCAAATTGACACCAATAGCACCCAAGTAGAAATAGAAATATATGAAAAATAGAAACATCGTTATCATAATAGGATGTCGTCATATGTTAGTGGGTAAGTCCTTCGTTTTTTAGACTTTTTGAAAACAATATTTATAAAAATATGATATTAAATATTGCTTCAAATCCCAAAACCTTTGTATCATTTGCAGTTGGCCAAAATGCCAGTATTTTAAGATCATTTGAAGATGCTGCAAAAGTATTCGCTGCTGTTGATTCTAAAACAATAGTCACTAATGCCACAAGAGTATTGCATAAAACACAGGATAACAGGATTGTCAAAATAAAAAGTCCAGTGTTTTATTCTGTAAAAACAAATTCATCTGGTATGAAATTTGAAACTGTAGTTAATAGAAACGGTTTTGTGGTAATGACTACAGTGTGTGAAGCATCTATTTCAGATGTCAAGCTTTATGCTTGCAACCAAACATGTTTTGGTTTTGGAGATGGTTTAATATTAGGAGATAAAGGGTACACTTCAAAAGGTTTGACCAAAGTTATCGTACCATTGAAAAGAACAGAAGAGAAAAATGATGAAAAACGACACAATTTTAATTATTCCCACACCATAATGAGAAATATTGTCGAAAGGAGTTATGGAAGAATGTGTCAATTTTTGGAGGTTTTTTAGAATGCCGTATCAATTTGACAAAGATTTGTTTGAGCACTATCTTCGTTGTGCTTGCGCCATTTTAACTTTATGTTGACACATTACCCGATTACTGATGATTGTAATATTGAAAATACATATAATTTAACTAGTCTTTTTGATAAAAATATTGAAATTTATGAAAATGACCAAATGGAATTACTTGATGTTGATCCATTAGAATATGACAAACACAAATACGGTGATCACGGTGCATCTTTGAGTGATAATTTGTTTCATTTTATTTTTGAAAATGAAAACCAATGTTGTAAAATAGTTCAGAATGAAAAATATGGTGAATTGAAAGACAGCATTTGTTCAATAAATGAGACATTTGAATCAATTAAAGAAGAAATTAAAAACAACAAACAACCATTAATTGACAAAAAATCACTTGTGTATTTAATGAATGACGCAAAGAAAAGAATTGATGAATCAATAAAATTTATGTTTTTTGTAAAACAAATGTGTTCATCCAAATGTTTGTTTTTCGAAAGTGAAAAAATAGAAATTTCTACAATTAGTCAAAATATTGATGAGAGTAAAATAAATAGTGACTATTGTGAAGGAACACAAATGATTCCCAAAGATAGAGAGATTGTATTTTCAGATTCTGAACTCATCACAACACCAATTTTTAAATCCAAAATTAAAACAATTGATAAAGATCGTTTTGTGTGTGGTATGTTGAATTCGGATGATATTTTTTATGGAGCAGAGTGGATAATAAATAACACATCTTCAGAAGAGTGTTTTTTGTTCGATTGTTCTTTTACTTCTTCTTGTCGTCTCGTTAAAAAGATTAATTCAAAACAAATAAATGAACACATAAGAAAAAGTCATATATTGTTTTTTTCCTTCATTTGTAATCAACAAAGAAAAAGAAAATTACAATACGGTTGGTCATTGGTTTCTTATAATTGGAATTATTGACAATAACGAACTATCGTTATTCAAACTCGATAGTTTGAAGAATTATTCGATTTGTTGTAGTGATCAAATTAAACAACAAGTAGAAACAATCAAAAACTTCTTATGCCACATCGGAATAGTAATTGATAAAAATAAACCAATTAATGATATAAACGTGGCTCGACAAAAAGATGGGGCAAGTTGTGGTCGGTATGTTTTGTATTATATGTTTAAAACAATAGAATACCGTGGAATCGTACAAGAATTGCTTGAGCATGTAGAACAAAAAGATATTAATACCTTTGTGGAACGCATTTTAAATTAACATTTTTTTTATTTCTGTTGAATAAATTATTTGATATTCAATAAACAAAACAAGCTTTTTGGTATTTTTGAAAAAAGAAAAAAACAAATCTATTTTTATGAAATTTTTGTGTTCCATTTTCGCTATCCAGCGATTTTATGACATCAAGTCATACGTCTTAAGGCTAGTTAGAGAAACTGTAACGAATAAAAATGTATTTAAAATATCAAGTTTAGTTAAACAATATAATAAATTCCATCTCATTTCGAAAAACATGTCCCATGTTTTAAATGATGATAAAACCAGATTCTAATTAAAATTACATGTTAAGATATTCCGTTGGCCAAATAATTTTCAGAAGGACGTATTTTCCACCAATTACTTATTAAATTAAATGGAAAAAGGATGGAAAAAGTTCATCAAATAATACTCTAACCTTTAAATCTATTTTATAATAGTTTTTGAATAAGAGTTTTAAAACTATTTGCTTTACTTCTTTCAATTATTTGGTCTCTGACTTATTATGCCAACTGTACAACATCCTCAATTTAAACATTTTTACTAAACATCACCGAAAAGAATCGTTATTTATTTGTTAATTTGAATGTGATTAATTGTTCAACTTGATATGTTTAGTGTATAATTATTAAATAATTACACAATTATTTTTTTATTATTTATAATTTTAAAGTACAAATAAACAAATTAATACAAGTGTCGTACTAAGGTTTAGACCAAAATTATAATTTCGACAAATAATTAATAATTTTTATATTATTGTAAAAACTGAATATAAAAAGTTATATTTGGACCATTTTTAAAAAAATAAATAAAAAACTTGTTCATAATTTTTCAATTAGTATTTGAGTAACAAGAAAAAACCTTAGCTCCACATCTGCAAATTATATTTTTGATTGATGGAGCTGAAGCAATTTTTTACTTATATGAAAATGGGATAATACACAGAGACATAAAGCCAGACATTAATTGATATTTCATATAAAAAGTGATGTCGAGAGTAATGCAAAATTGACTGAATTTAAAATGAGTCGAAATATTATTATGCTGATGATCAATATAACATTAACTACATGCGTACAAAGCCAAAACATGTGGCGCCCGAAGATTGAAAAAATGAACACAACAAAAAACCATCAATTATATACTTTTTGTTATCACGACATATGAGTGTTTTGGGTGGTGTAATGCATACTTCAAAACACAATTCGGGTTTCCATGTAAGATCACAGAGTTTTTTACTGCTTGGAAAGGTCTTGAATGGCAAAATTAAATTTCAGTTGATAGATATAAACTCGTGGATTAATGTTGGAAACAAAAAGTAAGCGAAAGATTAGATAAGAATGAGGCAGTTGAACAATTAGTCAAGTTATTAAATAATTGTAATTAATTTGTTGTTTTGTTGTTTGTAATTAAATAAAAAAATATATACAATAAGTACGATATTTTAAATATTACTAATATATTATGTATAATTGTGATTTCTTCTTTAGAAAATATACATTGTTGGTTTTAAATAAAACTAATATTTGGTTTCTCAATTTAACGTTAATCAAGACCATCATTCCAAATATTTTTTTGATTAAGTTCAAGTAAAAAACTTCAGTCAACATATTTCTGTTTTTGAATCAACATCATCAATTTCAAATCACTCATTTACACAAGAAAGCGTGGTAATATAAGTCACAATTATTGTTTGAGCTACAACAAACATCTTTAACACAAAGTATCATTAGTTATTAAATACAAACGAATTAAATGGTATTGTTGATGTAATCTAAATAGGGTATTTCGTCGTCATTTATTATGTCAACAGACTTATCTAAAAATGTGCAATGTGTTTTTAATGTTTCAAAAACGATGTCATGAAACACATGTTATTGTTGATAAATTAAACCATATTACAATTTGAGATGTTTAATAATTTGATTTCAAATTTTAACGAATAGAATTAAACGATTTGATGTTGTGTTGATGATTTTTAACTATTTTTTGGTTATAGTTTTAAGAATTTAATTTTAATTAGAGATGGTAAAAGTACTCTGTGTGAAATAAGGTCTGTAACTTTTTTCTGTGTTTTCCCATATAAAATTTCAAATGTTCATTTGATATACAATTTAATCCAACACAAATTCAAATCAATCATTTCATTTAGATATGAATATCTTATTTTAGATTGTTGTTGTGATATAAAATTGTTTTTTTTCATAACAACTCTTACGTTCTCACATTTTTGAACGTTATACATTTTTATTAATTAATAACTTGACAATTATTGTGAATTTAAAATAGAATTGGTTGATTGCATCATCAGTAACATTTAAATAAAAACTGCTTTAATTTGAATTTGGTCATTTTTGTCATCAGATTTCTACACAACAACCTCA